CGGCTGGGGCGACAGAGTTGCTGACACGGAAGTCTTGAGAGAAAGTGGGATGTATGCAGTGGACTGCATACTTTTGCTAAGACAGCCGAGGTGGATCTTTAATGTGAGTCGTATGGATTCGACGCGGATACCGAAGCAGCTATTATACGGTCAGCTGAGTGTTGTTAAGCGGCACGTGGGGAAACCAAAGTTACGATACCAGTACATGATCAAACTGAGCCTCTCACATTCTAATCTTAATTGCAGATCATAGGAATTGAGGGCGGTTGATCGGCGTGCAAGCACGATCTAATCACGAAGGCATTTGCCGAAGTACGGTAGAAAGCCCTTGTACATACAGAGAAGCAGGGGCAAGCACCGATGAGTTGTACTCCATCGAAATCGAGCGCATGTTGCTGTAGCACTTGCGGTCGCGAGTGCCTTAGTCAGGCAGACCTAATGAGCCATGAGCGAGGCCACTCGGATCCACTACCGAAGCGACGACTTGTTCTTCAGAGAACGTAGGCAGAAGCGGCGCAGCGTTTGTAGGTAGGCTGCATTTGATTTACTAACCGCATGCTTGCATGCGCAGTCTATTTATTTCAGGTGGTGGGTTCTCAATTTTGTCCTAATGCTTTTTCTCCTTTAAATGTCTACCTGTTCTCTCTTCCTTTGACTTACACACGTCGCTTAATCCAACTGTAGTCGATTTGCATAGCATTTTCGTGTTCGTGGCATTTCCGTAAGGTATACTTTCTGACCTCGTGAACTTATCTAGGATTCTTTTGTAGACAACTAACTTCAAATGCTCATTAATTTATTGTTTATCACCGTTTCCTTGTGCATTACTCGATTTAGTTTATGTTATCTTTCACTGAAGTGATTGGTTGTTGGTTGTTATCCCCGGTGTAGTTGCGCTTGATGTACATGTTGACAAGGTGCCTACATGTCTGATACCCACTACTTTGTTCATACTGGCTCCAGAAGACATTTGGTCGTTGCTGGAGGGGACTGGGTGCACAGTCCTTGTGGCCGTGTTAGGCTCGAAGAGTGGTTCCATGCACTCAGTGTGGAGCGGACTACGGTCCAGCCACCGCCTTTTGTGCGCTTGATTCCCAAATACAGTGTGCTTGTGTTTGCTGTGAAGGAGTGTGGGCCGGCCCCGTTGATGAAACGTGGTTCTTATCCGCATGGCTCCCGGTCTTATTTCTTCGGGTTTACACTGGATATGGGTTGTGGTTGGAGCTGTGGGTGGTGCAGCGCAAGCCACCCATGGTCCCCTTTGTAGGCCCAGGCGTCCTGTGGCTGGCCACAGTGACAGGCAAATCTGAAACCGGATGCCGCCATCCATCTATATATATATGTATATATATATATATATATATATATATATATATATATATATATATATATATATATATATATATATATATATATGTGTGTGTGTGTGTGTGTGTATTCAACACCGCCAATAGTACAATTGGCATTGCGCCACAACGTATGAAAAATTCAATAAACAAGCGAAGAGAGAGAAAATACGGTGTTCTTGGGATTAGAGAGTCACAACAAGTCCACCATTGCGCACGGTTTCTTGCCATATCCGAGAGTGTATCTAGCCGTGCTTTTTCCGAATCCTTCACACTCCGGCCAGGTAGCCGAGAGCACCCATACCACGGCTAACTTTGACATTAGCTCCTTCATGCTCCTGACCCAAGTCATACGTTGCCCACCTTGCTTTCGCTTCCAGCCGACTTCTGCGCGCGCGAAATGGGCACCGCGAGGTAAGCGATGAGTGGTCATGCGAAGGACATGACCAAGCCACTGAAGTTTGCGCGGTGAAATTATGCTGCTCAGTGACCGGCAAAGTCTGTCTGATCTGAAAATTCTCCGCCGAGTGTCTTCATTACTAGTGTGATATTGCTATCCTACACCAGCGATGCTCCGAAGTCAACAGTGATAAAAAACAAATAGGGTGTCTCGCAGCCATAGAGCAAAACCGCTCTCACTGTGGCATTGTATACTCGGCACTTCAGAGATAGACTCAGATCGCCCCGACGCCAGAGATGGCGGAGATTGGCAAAAGGCAACCCGAGTTTTAGAGACGCCCAAAGTGACCTCATCGGTTAAACCATTAGTGCTGAGGCAGCTGTCGAGGTAAGTGAACTTGTCCACCGCTTTCAGTGAATGACCTAAAAGGGTAGGCGTAGGCGCAGCGCCTTGCCAGTCCTGCAGCAAGACCTTGTACTTCGATGGTGCGAAGGTCATTCCAAACTGGGAGACAGACCCCTCCAACCTACACAGATATTGGGCGACCTGTGAGGAATCGCAGATTACGGCGTTGTCGTCTGCACACTCCAAATTCCGAAGTCGGTCCCCGGACGCAACTCGACGCCGCTGCGTTCGCAATTCTCCAGAGTACTTTCCAGGATTTCGTCCGTAGCAAAATTTAACAAGAAGGGGGTCTTGGGCAGCCCTGTTTCACGCTACTGGTGATATTCTAGGGTTCGACAGTCCACTGTACGACGGCATTCGGCCCGAGGTTTGAGAGTAGATGGCTTGAAGTAAGATGACATAATGCTAGGGCACTCCCCTACTCAGTAGACAACTCCGGAGAGTAGTTCTGTCGACTGAGTCAAACGCGGCTGATTTGTCTAAGAAGACAACGATCCTTGGCTGGCTAACTGTTCGACGACGTTCGAGTATTTGTCGGTGTAAAAATGTGATCGATGCAACTCCGACCTGAGCGGAACCCAGCTTGCTCTTCACGTATGCTCTGTTCACGTACCAGGCTGAGGCTCCTTAAAAGCAGAGTTGCAAGCAATTCGGGAGCAACACAGAGATAACTTCTTAGTTGCCAATGGAGGGAGGCTTTGGTACGCCTCTAAGTGAAGGTCATGGAAAAGCAAAAGTGTTCCAAGGCATGATTCGTGTCGACGCAATTGCTCCGGGAAGAATGACAGTCCAGGATGGAACCACGCCTCCTGTTACTTATGGCAATGTGATCGATTTGGGTCCATCGCTGGTCAGCTATAGGTGGATGCCAGGTGACACTTGGTCATCCACTGTGTTTAAAACCGATGCTACTAAAAGAGAGCCGGTGCTCCCAACGCAGCCGTAGCAGTCGCCTGCAGTTGTCCGTACCTTCGGAGTTAAGCCCATACTTACCACCTATCTGAGCTTCTGAAGAGCTTAGCCAACTTACTCGCTCATTCATATCTCCTGAAAGAACTATAATTCCTGAACTGGTAACGCTGCGTAGTATCGTGTTCAGTTAGTAGTAGTAAGCATCCTTTGCAGTATCAGGACTTCATTCGGTGGGGGCAGAAGCGGAAATTGGGTGTTGCCGGCCCGAAACCACTGCACAACCACGACGCGTTTCGATGTCATTTCATCTCATCAGGTGGGGATGACAGGCCTCGAACCCGCGACCATTGGAATAGTAGCCGAAACCTCTGCCCCTTTGGCTACCGGGTCACGGCGGGCAACGCTTGTCACAACGGCAAACCATTAATTTTGGACTACGCGTTTTTTGAATGGATTGCGACGGGCATTGACCAAACTTCACTTCAGTTTGAATAGCACTCCACATTGAGATTGCGCTTCGCAATCCAATAACACAACGCGCCGTCCAAAATTAACCCTCTAATTAGTGTCTTTTAGTACTTTGGGTATCAACTTTAGTTGATGTCGTCAAACGGGCTGCACGCAAACGGCTGCTTACGGCAATCCAATCAACCAACGATAACCTAGTTTTGGAGCTGAGAACGATGCCTATCCAAGCTTGACCTGTGAGTGCCGCATCAACGTCTCCGGATGCGTGTAACCAATAGCGAGAGGATAAGCCAGGTGCAGTTACTTCAACCACCGCAAGAAAGTCATTGGTCCTAGTTTCGGATAAGCAACGCACATCATTACCCAGGGTGTCTAACCTGCGTACGAGTGCAACCTGTTGACTTATTTGTCCTAGTGTACAAACGTTGAACGCCGTCGAGGAAACAGCGATTTGTGCCCAGTGGGTAGTGCGGGAAGAGCTGTCGACGGTATAACTCCAGTGACCTTTCGGTTTGCTGTGAATTAAACTGGGAATTATAGAAGGAAGGCTGGTAATGGGGACTGGGAGGGTAGCAAGAGACACAGGTGAAAAGGAAAGAAGGGAGGCCCCAGCGGTAGTGTCTTTTCGCCTACCCGCCCTGCTATATGCAGATGATAAGGCGACCCTTGATAATCTGGGCGACGGCCGATGCAGCATGTGGTTGAAGTTTGCAGAAATAGTCATGGTCGTACGTGTGCTGAGTTACTGCCAGGGCGCCCAGACCTAGACTGGAGGAAGATTAGGTCCCTCAACCAAAGCTTTTGGCTCAAAAGCCTGTCCGCAAGGCAACGGATGACAACGATTCGGTTTTACGGAAATTGCCACCATCCCATTTCAAACCCCCAACCTGGAGAGCCAGGATCCTGGGTTTGTCTGATCTCTAATCATTGACCAATCTGGTAGGAATAGCTATTAAGAGGCCCAAAGGCCCCACTCAGTACAGCTCAATGGGTCGACGAGGTACGCAAACCGTCACACCGCGTTCAAGTTCAGTATCGCTGCGACGGGCAAAGGTGATCTGGTGGAGAAGTTTAATCGGCATCACGAACCATTAACAAATGAGTTGTACTCCCGTATAACTTCCATCCAATTTCGGAAACACCATGTAGTTGCAACCGACATCGCGCGTATTGCGTAACATTAAGTCTAAGCCACTAGTATTCGCCCACGGCCAGTTCACCATGTAGTGGCGAAAACCGGTTTTTTCTGCTGTTGAAACGCCGCTGAATGTGTGGTTGATGTGTTTACGCTGTTGCTTTCTCAGAAGGCGTATGTGAGTTGTGTTGTGCCATCTTACGTCCCTCATCACACCACGGTGTTTGCTAGTGCTTACCAGTTCACCATCATTGGCTCCCAACTCACTTTCGCGCCGGCTTACTTGCGCTGATTTTTCAATCACAACTTATGATACGCTTTTGTTTTAGGTATCATGGACGAGAAGCAGTACTGCGTAGTACGAATCTCTACGGAAAATGACTTCCACGTTTCTGTGATAAGTAACACCTGGTTGCTGAATGATAACCGCCTGGCGGCCATCCCTAATGTGCCACCTTACAATTATTATCAAGCGGTGCGGGAACATCGTACACCCAGATCCGGTGACACCTTAATGCAGGTTTCTGTTATGGCAAGCAGCGGTAAGGATCCTTCATGGTAGTGTAATACGTTGCAGTTAGCTTCAGCCATGCGAGGCTACTAGAGGTTTCGTACTCCGCTACCGAATTTCCGGAAGCTTCCTGCGACAGTAGTCATACGTGTACCCCTTCAAAACTCGATATGTAAATGGTATTCGCTGCCTAATGCACTCTCCTCGTGCAGCCGCGAACTGAGACCTCTGTTGCCAGAGGAAGATGGCTACGACCCTCCGATTATTGTGACGAAACTCCCCAATTTACCAGTTACAATGCTGATGCGGCGTCTCGTCTCAGCAAAATGCACGGATTCCGCATCGAGTGAGTGTACAACACTGAGGCTCATAGATCACATCTTTAGGTCTGGGAAGCATGCAGCCTGATGAGGAACATAGATTCGCCTACCAAACAGGCAAGTTTTACATATGTGGAGATCTCACGTTCACTATAAATCTTTACAGCTGAAGTAAAAACAGTGTGGACAGATCATGATAATGTTCAAAACAAGCTAGAAGGTAAATACTGCATAGTTCCTACGCAAACTGATAGTAATGAGCGGCAGCCAACAGCATAATTCAACTACACCAGTCTGCTTATCGTTGACCGCGACTGGTAAGTTTGCATGCTGAGTCGACCTAACCTCGCTACTTTGTTTAGATACACAGGATGTTTTGAGCACAGAGTCTTTAGCACTGTATACGGAACTGTTTGGTGTTCTCGGTATGTTCGGCCTGTTTGAAACTGATATCGCAGAAACCATGCTATCTAATCAGCTCAAGATGGAAACCGATTTGGCAGCAATGCAGACTGCGATTCGTTCAATGTCAGAAGCTGCAATCCGTTGTACTGCTCCCCCAGACAGCTCATTGCCACTGCCAGTGACCACCGTGGCTGAGTTGGAAATGTTCGATGATGATCTCAAAGACGAACAACGAAAGCAGCAATTTGTAAGAGCCAATTTCTTTCATCTGAAACATTGCAGGTGCGCTTTTTGGAATGTGTTCATGGTCAGGATGTGAACGAAACAACTCGACTAATGTTGGAGCGTATAATGCCGCGATCGGTTGCAGCGCAAATAAACTTCTCTGGAGCTAATAAAACCTTCGCGTTCCGCAAGACTCTAATTTATACTGTGTTAAAATGTAGATATTTCGCTTGTCCGTTTGACGTTCTTTCGTAGCCGTTTTACTGCATAGGTTTGTTGAAGTGGGCACTACGCCTGCGCATGTCGCAAATACTGTCAAAGGTTGGCTTCATACGGTTCGACACAGCCGGCCTAAACGCCCTTCAAAAGTGAAGCCCAACACTCGATCGGAGGTTAGCAATAACCTACACGCATCATAAACTGTTTAGCAGGTTTACCTAATCGTCGATTTGAACTCTCCCTCGACTGTGGGCGATTTTCAAGAAATATCATTCACGCAGAACTAGTTGTGGTAGGTGTAACCTTTGTAAATAGTATCATCAATAAAGCTTACTAAAACTTTTCATGTTTTTCTTGGTTTTCGGTACGTATTGCAGCGCCATAAGTCGCGATTTCAGATTATCTTAGTGATTGTTGTTTACCATTCGTCCAGGGAGTTTACTACTATTGCTTCTGGATTCGCATTACGGCGAAGGATCTCTAAACATGATGAGCTTTACTATTGTGCCCTACAGTTAATCCGTACAACCGAGGATGTTTTTTCTCCTTTGCTTACGAGTATAGGTCACTTTGAATTCTGGAGTTGTATGAATGACGACCTTAGTGGACCGCTCAATGTACATAGTCATTTTTCAGTATTTTAGTGGCCACTTTTCACATTCTTCCGCCTCCTGCTGTTCTGCAAACACGATATCAGTCTACATAATATCATAAGAAGACGGGTGTTGCACGATGATATTTCACGCTTTCTGATCACATGCGAATGAGCGACATTTAACGATCACGAAAGGAGAAAAGCAATGCTTTGAGTGGTGTCAGAGTGGGAATGGAAGCAACATAAGGCATAAACTCCAACAGAATCACAACGTTTGAGACAAGTATCACTAACCCTAAGAAAGCTTGAGTTTGACAGTCAACTGTTTTTGCACACGTAGGTCCGGACGGCTGTGATAAATTGCCATAGCCTCCGCGAGCTTGAGCACCATGTCTTTTTCATTACGGTAAACCCCAGGTTAGAATCAATTTGGTGCCCGGTTCCAAGTAGATGTCTGGCTATCCAAGAGGCTGGCAATTTGCATCTCAAGTTTTGTCCCTGCGATTGTTTTGCCACAATTGTAGCAACCCATTTCTGGATGTGCTCACCGATCCGCTTGCGCAGACATCGGTCTGTTCTGCCGATGTAAGCGCTTCCACAGTTATAGACAAAGTTATAAATGCAATGTGTTGTGGCAGACCGCTTGCGTAAGCTTAACCGGAGGCGTTGGTAACTTACTGGTTGTCCGAATTGCGCACATTTTTACAGCATTGAATGTACGTCGAAATGCCTTGACAACACGACTTATGTAGCCACGTCATCCTCTTTGAATGCTCATTGAAGATAGACGGACATTTTTGACACTGTAGAGGGTTTTCTTTGTTCCCTTCTGTCGTGCGACCGTGAAATTTAATAAACGCTGTCTAGTAGCCATTTGCCTCTAGCGTCTGTGTGATGAGCTGCATTTCAGCTTCGACACATTCAGGGCTAAATATTGTACTTCCTCGTTGGAACAGCGTTTTGGCGAGGCAATGTTTAAATAAGTAAATAAAATGTTTATTCTTGAATATGCGAGACACGTCTGCACAGGCATGATCATGGTGAAAGTACAACCTGTTATCAGGTAATATACGTTGGACTAATAGGATTATCCAATATGTTGATACGTGTATGTTGGCATGTGTAGCCGTGTTTATGGGATTTGTATATGCTTTCCTACACTTTTGACCGTGTCGCCAGTGCTAAAGGGATGGTTGATGTTTGTGGACTTGAAGCGGTTGCACCGGACCGGATCGTTAAAAGTCGCTCATTTGCATGTGATCCGAAAGCGCGAAATTATATCATCGTGCAACACCCGTCTTCTCATGGTATTATTTAGACGATAGTTGTTGTTTGCTTGACGAACAATTCCTTATGGTGCCAGCCAGGTGGTTCGGGATTACCTCGTTCCAGCACATGTTTCAACGTCAGTGTTCCAGGATGATGCGGGCTTTCTCCTGGTAAACGTTTTCCATAAAAATGCCACATATATCCGTTCATTGACACTGTCGCGGCGGATGTGACTCGCCACCAAATACAGCCATTGCTCATTGCTTGTCTGGTGGATAACCCTATCCACTCAACGTACGTCAATAACCTCTCCTCACACTGACGATGTGATCAGACACAGTCATAAGTGCAGCGAAACACTTAAAAGCCCAAGTAACACAGCTGCACACCTGGTTGGCGGCATGCGGTTCCGGATTTATCTGTCCCTTTGACCTCCACTGGGACACCAAAAGACGCCTGCACCTACACCAGGACCATGAGTGGCTTGTACTGCACCACCCATAGCTCCATCCACACACCCCATATCCGTTGTAAACCTGTAGGAATAATAGCGGGAGGTATGTGGATAGAAACCACATTTCATCAACGGAGCAGGTCCACACTCATTCAGCATGCACAGCAACAGCATTTCTGTCCAATTGGGCAATCATGCGTACCAAACGTACACAAGGCGGTGACTGGCCCGTGGCCCTTGTTAAGTCTCGAACGGCCTGCTCCGAGGAAAATTTCGCTATCTGAGAATCAAGTCGAGTTGGCGCCACTGATTCAGACCAAATCTTGTAACTTGCATGGGAAAACAGAATTTCACACAGTTCAAAGTCAAATGCGCACAGAAACGAAATAAATTGACTTGTTCGGGAAGGTAAGTGCGCAATTCCTCACAAGTAACCGTGTGCCTTGTATCAGAACAGTCTCAGTTACAAGCAGACTAGTGTTTTTCTGTGTTGCAGAACATTTGTTACTATCGCTTGTTTCTCACCACTCACACGTCCCGTGATTCTTGAGATCTATAAATTCAAATTAGCACACAGCCGTGATTTGAACTGTATCGGTGTGTATTCAGACCCACCTCGGCCCGTTCTGTGTTTCGCAAATATATTTCTCGTCCGGTGGGTTATCTTTTGACTCGCCTGGCGCAATCTAAGAAGCTACTAAGTAGAACCACTGAGGACACAACAGCCTGCTCCACACTAGACGCATGAGGCCACTCTTTTAGCCTAGCACCGTCAAGAGGACCATGCACCTCGCTCCCCCCAGTAACAATTCACATTCTCCTCTAGCCCATAATCGACGTGGTGGGGGTTAGACCGATTGGCACTTTGACAACATTTAAACCAAGCACAGCCACATCAGGGATATCATTCAACATCCAATTCCTGACATTCAAGGAACCCAAGGCACGTACGCGCACGTACAGACCAGCCACAGTGATAATGTAACACAAGTGCCACATCGACCTCATTATTGGCATGGGTTACTAAGTTCCGTTATTAAGTTGCATTGAATCAGAAACTACCTAATTACCAACCGCAACTAACTCGTCTTCTCTTGGATGTTGACCCCACGTGGCCATGCTGATGGCTTACGTGATCAACTTGACTTAGGCACTCGCGATCGCATATGCTACAGCATCAGGGGCTTGACGTCGATGAGCTAGAGTTCATTGGTGCTTGTCACTTTTTCAACCGACGTCCATCTTCCGCACTTAATAGTGATTCTTCTAGCACCTGGGCAACCGCCCTCATGATAGGCTGTTGTCACTCGCGCCGATCAATTGCCTTTGATTCCCAACGCCTGATATCAACATTGGTTTTTGATAAACCCGCCTGTTTCTCGCGAGCACTAATTTTCGACACAGCACCCGCAGAAGTATGACTTGGCGGCCACCAGCCTCGGGCCAGTCATGGACGCAAATCCATCATATCGCGATCAGTTGCCGCTGGAGAGGATGTGTCCAAAACTGTCGCTCGATTTGGAGCACGAGCGTGGACTCTGACCACGCACTTGTCTGTGCTGACCTGCGGGTGCGTTTCGGTGGACGTCCGCGACGTCGATGTGAACGGATCGACACTAGCCAGCTGGCGAAGCCAGATGTTCTGAATGTGTACCAAGATGCGCTGACATCTGGGCTGAGTAAGCGCCCACTAAACACCGTTGAAGATCACTGATCGCATACTCGTCAAGCGTTGCTATTAGCAGGCATGTCTTCATGTGGCAAAACAAATTGCAAAACCGAACATTGGGTCTCTACACAGTCTCTGGAACTTATGGATGCTCGCCGACGTATTCCGGCTGGAAGCGAATACAATGAGGCTCGCAAAAATTCCAGGGCAAAACTAAGTGCTAGCCTAAAGAAGGACCGCGAAACCTGGTGGTCTCATCGTGCCTCTGAGATGGAAACAGCCGCTGCCGTTGATAGTCATTGTAAGTTATTCCGTCTAATACGGGAAACAGGCAGCAGGAGACCTGGTGTTAGCGAGACCATACGCGACGAGAGTGGGCAGATGATCCACAGCCTGTCAAAACGCTTGGAGCGTTGGGCTGAACACTTTGCTATGCAATTTAACCAACCTGAGTTATCGCTTTCTTCGGGCATTGAGCGCCCTTCTCCTTGGGCCGTCTCCTTGGATCCGCCCTCACGCGCAGAAGTCGAACGTGAGATCAGGCTGTTGAGATTGCATAAGGCCGCAGGAGCAGATACTATTCCTCCAGCCCTCTTCAAGTTCGGTGGGCCTGGTCTAGTAGATGATCTACACGAGTTGCTAGTAAAACTTTGGGAGCAGGAGACAGTCCCGACAGACTGGAACCGCTCCGTCATTGTCTCAATTTTCAAGGGAGGCTCCCGTTTAGAATGTGGCAATCATAGAGGGATCAGTCTGATTTCCATTGCCTCCAAATTGCTTGCCTCTCTCATTCTCCACAGACTGACTGGCACTCGTGAAAGCCAGATTCGTGAAGAGCAAGCCGGATTTCGTCGAGGTCGGGGCTGCATCGACCACATCTTCACCTTGCGTCAAGTGTTGTAACACCGCCATGTTTATTGGCGACCCAACGTTGTCGTGTTTCTTGACATAAAAGGTGCCTTCGACTCAGTCGATCGATGTGCCCTTTGGGACTCTGTTGAGGAAAGGTGTGCCTGATAAATATGTAAACATTATCAAAGCGCTGTACGCACATAGTTCGGGCAGGGTGAGGGTTTATGGCAAACTCTCGCCACCCTTCAGTATCACCAGCGGTGTGAGACAAGGATGCCCGCTGTCACCTTTCCTCTTCAACTTCGCTATTGATGAAGTCATGGAAACAGCGTTCGCTGGACACGACCTCGAAGGTGTGGAGCTACTCCCTGGTGAGTGACTTCTTGACTTGGAGTATGCAGACGATATCGCCCTAATCTGTGACAGCTTCCAAACATGCCAAACAGCA